TTGATCTCTCGACATGACTATGAATTATCACATGAATGCGATTCTCAGCATTACCTGTTTTCCAGTCATATAATACTTCGTTTACAAATTTATATTTTAAAATTACTGGGTCAAAATTGACAACATTAGGGAACTGATTTACATGGAGCATGCTTTTAATATATAGTGAAAAATACCTGTGTACGTATATTTACATTCACATCGACGCATAATACGATGTATCAATCTTGATAAAGTAATTTTATTGTGGTTCACTTAAACTTCGACAAAACGAAAAAGAAACTTTGCTTCACACATATCTCCTCTAATGCTGTCTAAGTGACCATATAATTGAGATTCTGGACGAGTTTTCCATTTAGCTAATTAAGGCAGTGTTCGATTATTTATGTTTACCTATGATGTAAAAATAATTCAGAACTCTTACCTTATCATCGTTAATTTGAATTTCAATGAACTTTGTCCTCTCTCCATGGTCAAAGGTGAGTGTCCCTTCAGTGTTTTCGTAGTCCCTGCCGTGAATGGCTGTCATGTCCTTGGTTTTCCATGTGATTGTGACCTTACCATCAGCTCCGTCTATCCTGTTCACCGGGACCAGTGCTGTTCCTACACTCTCCTTGAACAGGAAACTTGGGTGTTCAAACTCCAATACGCCTGGGTCTAAAACAGATAGGATGATATAATGCATAACAATTATTGTCATAAAATGAATAGTATCATATTATTATAATTATCAAAATACAACACAGAAAGAACATTATAGTATATAAATGTTGTAATATAAAATAAACAGCGCGATGCAAGTATAATAGTTATGAAAAAATTGGATCATTTAAAAGAATTTATAATAAAACATATTTTACATTATGGATAGCATATTGTTATGTATAACTATTATAATTGAAATTTATAAATAATGAGTACCAAATCAAGTAACAGCCAACATGCTGATTTGTCTACAGATTCCCTAATTCGTAGATGAGACCGAAGATTTTCGAAGCCATATATCTTAACGTAAAGAGTACCATCAAGCGAAGTATTAGATAAAAATTTAGTATTTGCTTACAGTATCAAAAATTAAAGAAGAAAAAGGGAAAGGATATTCAAATGGTCAAACTAGGAACCTGTCCAGGGCCAATCCTTTACTTTTCCATTATTGCTAAACACATCATGATATCTAATATTTACCGTCGTCGTTGAGTATAACAATCTCAGTTATCGCCCTTCTGCCAACTACTGCGTTCTGTTTTTCGGAATCGATGGTAATTCTGCCGAAGAACACCTCATCTGGTTCCCAGATGTTGTCGTCGATAATCTGAATGTCGATGTGTTTCTCTGTCTCGTTGGGCTCAAACACCAGCGTGTCCTTAAAGGAAATGTAATCCTCTCCCTCCACAGCCGTCCCGTCTATTGTCTCCACCCTAACACAAAAAGTAAACATTCGTTCATGTTATCAAAATTGACGTTTTCATTAAGGCAACAATCATGCGAATTTGCATACATATGCAAATTTGTTAGATTCTACAAAATCAACAACAAAATGTATTATAAACCCAAACCCATAGACAGAAATCAAACGCAATGATGATTTGAAAAGAACACATCCAGCGACTGCAGAAACATATCAAACATCATGAACCGCCACATAAATCAGACTAAACCAGGTGAACCAGGTGGCTAAACCAGGTGCTTTGAATGGGAAGGCGGTTTTTTTACACCACATGTGGTAACCGTCATTAAAAGATAATCGTTTTCTAAATTCTAAATTCAACATAAAAAGATGAGTACTAACCTTTGAGTTTACCTACCGAGTACATGTTTTGTTTCAGTGTTTCAACTTACCTATAAAGTACGCGGTTTTTAAGATTGCCATGTCGCATCACAGTGATACGTGCATGACCATCTTTTTCGAAAACAGCTGTAGATGGTGCTGCAAACTCAATGATGGCCTTTGTGCCACCGTCACTCATGGATGTAAATGATGCTGTTGAGCCCATCTGGTCCTCAATCAGCAAGGTCTCCAGTAGCTGTGACATAATAATTGAATGTCAAATATTAACAACAGGGATTAACAACTACCATGTTTAAGGTCTTTGGTATGTCCCGGCCTAGTGACAAAAAATATTGCAATGGGTGCAGCAGATT